AGTCACAGCATGAACAAGAATTGCGGCCGCTTTGTTTCACAGTATCCTAAGTTGCCCCTAATCATCATCACCATCATAGAAGATCACCCTGACGGCGCCCGGATAAAATGTGGTGAGAATTTGCTTCTTAAAAGGATCCAAAATGAAGGACCCCCCCCCCCCCCCCCCCCCCATCCCCACGCCACCCCCACCCCACCCCACCCGGTGGCGGGAGCAACGTGGTACTCGAAACTAGAAGTATGCACCCGTCACCATGCACACCAAGTTCCAAAACTTTTAAACCACCGCTTCTCTCTTCTATATATATATATGCCAAAAATGCAAATTTAATTATCAATAAAATAAAAATATTTGCAGAAAAACAATAATATGAAGAGGCAAAGAGGTGCTACTAATCCGGGTAAAGTACTACCCGCGGCCGAAACTACAGTTGTTGCGAAGGTGGTGAAGAAAAAGGCGAAAGGGGGTGGTGTGGATTTGGAGACGGCGGTGAAAGAAGTGGTGCTGGAGGAGGTGGCGGCGGAGGAGGTTGTTGCGGCGGTGCTGGAGGAGGTGGCGGCGGATTGGGCTGATTTGTGCAGTGGGGTTGAAGAAGAAATGCCGTGGGCGAGTAGTTGGATCCCGTTTTGGGAGATGGAGGCCACCGGCGATGCTTACGAGGCATTATACGGTGACGTTTTGTGGGATTTTGATATTTGGGATTTGAAATCGATTGGCAATGTTGCTCCGTTTCCATGAAATATTAAAATTATTATCTTTTTTTTTTTTTTTATAATTTTAATTAGACTTGAATGTAAGAATTTTGTTTTTTTTTTTGTTTTGTTTTGCTCACGTTAGATTTGAAATCTTGTCAATGTTGTCTATCTTTTAAACCTCAAGTGTTATTGTTGTTGAAGTTTGCTTAAGTCTTAACTAGTTGATTAGAAGTGTGACGTGGCACTTGTGACTAATTAATTAAAAACATGCATGGCAAAGTTGACAAATGTTGTCACCACAGGGTGACTGAAGTAAGGAGAGTGCGGCGTCTAATAACGACACATAAATCGATTTTTTGGTGTCGATATACTAATAATACTTTTAGGTTGAATTCGTCGCATCATATAATTAGAGGTGGAAACTAGAACGGAATTATTCACATCCGTCAGCGTCGATTACAATGCAAAATTTAGTATTGTAGAAGGAACAATGTTTCTCATTTCAAATTCTGTATTTTCATTTTTTATTTATTCCAATATTTTTTATTTATACCGAAAATTATGAGAATCTGATTCGCTCCAATTGAAAATTTTGAAAAAAAAAAATCAATTTTTATTATTTTTTGAAAATTACCTCATAATATTTCAATATTATTATGTATTTGCAAAATTTCGATTTTCGATTTTTTTGGGGATAAAATTTGAATTATTAATTTACTTTCGAAAAAACGATTTTCCCCCTAGATTTAATGTATAGTAAGAAAAGGGCAAAAAACCACAGTAAAAGACTCTATATATAGAGAGAAGGAACAAAATCAAATGTACAAAGCTAAAAAGCCTCTAAACTTTATTGTGTCCAGAAGATCATGTATCATTTCAAGACAGGTAAAAACAGTTTTTTAACCTTTTATTTCTCTTTTTCAGAGTCGGTAGTGAAAAAATAATTACAAGAATATAAAATTTCTTGAAATTCGATATAATTAAAAGAAATAAAAAAATATATAAAAAATAGCCCTTTTAGGACCAAAATCCAAGAATTCATCCTATCTTTTAATTTGGTTTGTGATCTTTACTGCCCTTTCAGTAGTTGAAACTTCAAGTTTATTCGGGTTACTTTCTATCCATTTTTGTAATTACCAGTATATTTTTTAGCACGACGGGCGATTAAGTCGGGTTTAATCGAATTACGATGGTTCTGCCCGATTACATTTGATTCGAGTTTATTTTTTAATGAACTTGCGATTATATTACTTTTAACATGATTTTTTTAACCTACTATAAATTCAACGCGAAAGTAAAAGGAATTAAGGGTAATTGTGGCAATTGGTAAAATATGAATAAAATGCAACATACCCATCCAAAAACCGATAGCTTAAATTTATCGACGAGATTTGAGAATATAAAACGTTTTCAATAGTAAGAAGATTTGCTAATCTTTTTTTTTACTTCTTTCAATCTTACTTCTAAGTTTTTATAATAACTTGCAAAACTCGTATAGGATTTCTTTGGATTGACTTCAACGCAGGTAAATCTTGTTTATTACTTATTTTCATAAAAAAAAATTACTCATTACAGTTCTATTGTTATGAACCTGATAAAAAAAAAACTCTAAACTAGAAAAAAATAGATGAACCAAACTTGAACCTATATTAATGAGGTCTGATGGTATGTGAGATTGAACTCGTTACTATAACGAAGCGTGAGTTGGATATTTATACTCAATCATGTAAAAAGCATGTTTCCTAATTAAGAAAAGAAAGAAGTGCTATTTATATAATAACAACTTCTATATAGCAGAAAAGTAAAACTATATCTACATTTATCAATATAAAATATATATATATATCAACAAAGCGCGACGTATATGAGTTTGAACGAATCCAAACTCGAGTCACATAACCTAATTTTCAGCTCTATTGTTTTAGAAAATGCATCTGCAAATTTGCTATTGAACGGGGATTTTTTTTTCTTTCAAAAATCATATATGTCAGTTATTACGTACCTCAGTTTATATGCTGTCACATAATTACTAAGTAAATTGACAACAAAAATAGTACAACGTTAATTTCGCAGTTTATCAGTATAGACCATTAAACAATCACACGTCTTCTGGCTACGAGTTTCTGGAAAGGCGTGAATTTAAATTATAATTACTAATTTACTACTATTAAAGTAATTTTAGTATTATTATAAATTTGTAATTTAAAATATGATTATTTTTTAATTATACATACTAATGTAATATAAATTACACTTTCAAAACAAACCAAAAGACAACGGAACAGAGTTTTAATTTTTCTATACCCCCCACCTAGAATTATTGATGATAAATAGTGTGATAATTTTGTTTTTTTCCTATATATATGAAGATAACATGGTGGGATCAATTTCATTACCACACACAAACGTGTACACCTGTTTTATTTGACAGCATTTTAATTCCTTCATTCTATTTTGGTTTTCGACCATTGATTAATTGGACTTTTCTTTGAATTAATTCGTTCAAGCATTTAATTTTCAATGAATTTCTTACATTAAAAATACTAAAATCTGTTTTATCATTTGATGATGTGATAAGAGAAAGTTAATACTTATAGTTGAATTAATTAAGTTAAAATATGAAAAAATTTATTTAATATAATGTAGTGTTGGAAATTTAAAGTGATAAATAATATAAAACAAAATTAGTTTTAAAAAGTGACAGTTATTATGAAATAAATTGAGCAAATAAAATTAGAGAAATTGATTACTATAATTAGAAATATTCAAATCGTAATCAGCGAAATTCGTTCGTTCCAGTTCCAACTCTTCCTTCGTTCCAATTTCCAACTCTACCTTCGACTATCCGCACTAATTAAGTGTTTTAATTAGCTGAAAGATGAAACTAGAGCTTTGCTTTGGCAACAAATTTATTTTTAATTATCCGAATAATATCATTTTAAAAGAGATTAGCTTAATCATCATATATATATGCAAAAACGTACAACATTAGTCGATTAATTACTCCACAAATAAGACAATTTGGATTTCAAAGTAGTTCACAAGATTAAGGTACAATAATTATACTTAATATATGCACAAAACACATGTGTGAATATATCAAGGTACATGCAAACGTAATTATAAATAAAATAAAATAAAATTTGGTCCTAACACAACAAAATAATCTCTTAACACCATAGCGAGATTCCCGGTCAACTAGCTCCGACCATGATCCACACACACTCACGTTTTTATGCTAATTTATGTCTCATTTTCTTATTTCCCTCTTAATTAACCACTTCTTTGATATTATAATATCAAACATTAAATTATTTTAAGTTGATTTTTTTTTTTTTGTAATAATTAATTCCAGATTAAAAAAATTCAATCGACTTTGCTCGAATTAGGGAACTTGAATCCAACTGCTCCACGTTCACTCTTTGTTTTTCTTAGAAATTTAATAGAATCGAAACCAAATTGAATTAGGGTAATTTAATCCAACTTGAATAAAATAATTATTTTATACAATAACAACCAAAGATTATGTATAATGCAGTTCTTAATCAATTACTCTTGCTTTTGGGCCTTTGGCTATGTTATTTTTAAATAAACATGGTCCACAAAAAAAAAAAAGAATTATTGATGATAATATAGTCAAACCTCTGGCAAATAGAGTTCCTGTATTTGTTAAAAAATGTCAAATCAAAGCCGCCCCCCTCTCGGCCCCCCTCTCTCCCATTTATCCACGGAAGAACAACTGTTCCATTTCACTATTATAATAAGGCCAATTTAACTTTTTTCAAATCATTATTCATACATAGTTAAAGTAAGAGCAACTCCAATGGAGAGACATCAAAATGGAGCATTAAACATTCATTTGATACTTGATATAATACTTTGATACTTTTAGAAAAAAAATTCACTCCAACCACAAGTATCAAATAAATTATCAAATTTTAAATATATGAATAATTATATTAGTAAATGCCACGTGGCAAATTCTGATAGGTTAATAGAGTGGTTACATTTTTGATACCTCATTTTCCAGGGAGTATTTTTGCACCTCGGGGTGGTTGAATATCAAAATAGTTCCCCATTTAATGCCTCCATTGGAGGAGGATTTTTTAATTTTGAAGCATCAAATTGGTAGTTTTTTAGTTTGATACCCCATTTAGTTCCTCCATTGGAGTTGCTCTAACTTCTAATTAATTTTTGAATCGTACTATTTATTTTTATTGCATGTTTTAGTTTTTTATTTCGAACCTAAATTAACTTTAATTTTGACAACCGTGTTATTTGAAGGGTGGCGATGGATCGAACAAGTGACCTCTTTATTCGCATGGTTTTAATACTATGTTGAATGATCACTTTATATAAAAAAATTAAGGATAAATTATATCTACACCCTCGAGGTATACTAAAATGACTTTAAGGTCCCTGTGACATTAGTAATTATAGCTACACCTATGAGACAATTACCGATATGCACTATGGTTGTTTATCGTGGGATCGTTAAGCTACCATAGACGATAAGTTAAAATCTTATGTAAGATAATAAGGATTTAAAAAATGTAAGGAAAGTCACGTCGCATTTTATCTTTATGTTGTCTCCACGACTGTCTGAAATTAAAGGTTCGTTATAATTCTAACGAAATAAGTTATCCAATTCATTATTCCGTTACATGTTTTAACAATTTTTAAGGGAGTGATTGTAATTACCGATAATATATAGGGACTTTAAAGTTATTTTAGCATACCTTAAGAGTGTCACGTGTAATTTACCCAGAAAATTGAATAATTTATTTGGTATTCGTAATTGAAAAGCTTAATTGATGCTAAAAAAATGTAAATTAATCAAATAGGGAGTTTACCAATTCCAATATCCAACGACAAGTACTGCCAGTTTGATATAGACATGGCCACGGGTCGGGTCTGACCCGGACCCGGCCCGGACCCGACCCGCTGACTGCCCCGCCCCGCCCCGGACCCGACCCGTTGACCATGGACCCGGACCCGGACCCGGCCAAGTACGGGTCGGTTTCGGGTCCCAACTTCTTGGGACCGAGACCCGC